CCAAGGATGTCAGGGCAGCAGTGACTGGTGGTCATCTGACCTGGTTCTGCCAGCCACCCCACCCAACAGCTGGGTGGCCTAGGAGGGCAACCTCCTACAGGTCTGTGTCAAAGTGGCTGACACTCCAGCCTAGTAAGTGCTGGCCCTGGTGGGTGCATGGGTATGCCCACCACTAACAGGTTAGGACAGCCATGCCCCAGGAGGTGGTGGCCACCAGCCAGTACCTAGTAAATGCCAGGGCAGCCCAAGGGTGGCAGGTGAAGAGCTCCAGACAAGGGCACCAAGGCCACGTCAGGACAGCTATAGTTCCATGGGCAAGCTGCTCTGGCTAGGGTATCTAGTGTATGTCAGGGCAGCCTGTGGGTGACAGGCAAGAGGCTCCAGATAGGGATGCCTAGTATATGTCAGGACAGCTCTAGGGCAGTAGATGAATGACTCTGGATAGGGATGCCCAGCCTATGTCAGGATGGTCATGGCACCACAAGTGGACACCTCTGGAAATGGTATGCAGTGTACGTCAGGGTGTCCCTAGGACTCCAGCTGAAGGGCTCTGAATAGGGCATTTAGTGGATGTCAGAGCAGTCTGTGGGTGGCAGGTGAGGGGCTCCAGATAATGATGGTGCATGTTAGGAGAGCCACAGCACCACAGGTGAATTGCTCCAGAAAGGGTATCTAATGTATGTCAGGGCAGCCTTAAGACTCCAGGTCAAGGGCTCCAGATAGGGTATTTAGTGGATGTCAGGTCAGGCCAATAGTAGGAGGGGGAGGCTCTGGTTGCAAAATACTGCCAATATCAGGATGGCCCAAACAGTAGTGAAGGAGGCTCTGATCAGGCCTATGTAGCCAGTGTCAGATCAGTGATAGGACCTGAGGTGATTTTTTCTAGATAGCTTATCTAGCCTTAGTTCAGTATGTAGTCTATATAATCAAGGCTGAACTAGGCTACATGTGTATGTTGGTGTGTTAGTGCATGTTAGGGCTGGGCATACACTGGGTCCAGATAATACCCATGCTGACCAGAGCCAGATATATGAGATCAGCCAGCCAGTATTGAGTCCATACATCTAATGATTATGGCTTATCAATATATGACATAGTAATAGAGATGATCAAAGCTTCACAGTCAACCTTGGCTATTAGATGCATATGAGGTACTGGGGTGCTTCCAGAAGCACTGAGACTGACCTGACATGATCCTCAGTATAGAATATATATCACTATAATATGGAGTTTACACAAAGAGCCCTCATGCTCAAGCCTATTCATCTCACATACCAGCCAGAGACCAACTGGAAGGTCTATGTCTCACAGTAGGGATGGCTAAGGTCAACTCCAGAAGGTGTGATAAACAGATGTCTGTAACACCAGTATCTGTGGTGGTGTATAGCATGACATTACAGTGTCATTAGGGTTATGACGAACAATAGCAACAGCTTGGATAACCAGAACCAGCTGGATGCAAGGGACTTGTATTCAAGGACTTGTGAGATGGTTATACCAGCTGGAAGAGTGATAGCTCACTTGAATACATATACAACAGGATGCAGAATAACTTTATCGCAGATTGTTAGTTATATGATACACTTCACAATAGATTACCTTATTCCTGCACTGTTTCCTTATGTTTCTGATATCATAGTCAACACCTCTTCCATATAGATATCTACTAGTACTTTGGACTAGGGTACACGGGTGCACACTTGTGACAGTGTCAAGGAATAAGCTCACAATTGGTAGTTTCAGAAAGTTGCCAATAACTGTCTTTCCAACATGTTTGAACAGCTAACTGACCAACTTTCATTCAGTGTTGTCTGCAAAAATGCCCAAGGGTCCAAACCCAGCTCTAGCTGCTTGTTGCATATCTTTTCAAACATGGTCTTCCTTACTCCAAGTGCTGACACTACTTGCCCAGGATAGGACTTGATGAACTATTGTTGTATAACATCTTCATCCTCGCCTTTTTCTACAGACATGTAGTGGCTGGTATTTTCAAACTTGTGAGCACCTGAAGCACTGTGTAGTCCACTCCAAGTGTTGCTGCCTGCACTGCTAGTCTCAGCCTGAGTGGCAGTATTGTTATCCCCCAACACCAGGTCCAACTTGCTGAGGGAAAGGATTTTATCAAGAAGCACATTATAGCTGGAGTGTGATGGCAATGAAAGCTCTTCTGGTGCTGTAGGATTTGGAGAGGGTACAGTATCTGATAAGATAAAATTTGCCTGTTTGCATGCAGTTTGCTGATACTTGCTTTATTTTTTTTTGCTCTTTGTTTGAGACAAGCAGGGATATGCACTATATGTTGGTCAAAAAATGTCTTTGCCTTAAAGGTTTTTGGACAGTATGGACAGGTGAACTTAACCCAAGTGTCTTCAACCATGCTACAACACCAACGTGTCCACACCAACAAAGAAAGTCCTTACTCTACCCCTTGCTTTTCAGATCCAGGCCCAGCGGGCGCACCCAGACATTGCCCAGCATTTTGGCAGTCATCACATGCGTGCATGGGAGCTTATTGACAGGCTCCAACACAGCAATGGTCAGATGAAAGAACCCTATGATGACATTACTAAGGCAAAACATTACCTTGATGCCATCCAGGATGGCCTTATTGAGGATGGCAACACAGTTCTGATGTTCTCTATAGATAGTGCGCAATTATATCAGTTCAAACATATGGATTGTTGGATCTACATATGGGTACTTTTTGACCATGATCCAAAGAAATGGTACAAGAAAAAAAATGTCTTTACCTGGCACCATCATCCCAGGACCCAAAAAACCACAAGATCTTGATTCCTTTCTGTTTCCTGGGCTGCATCATCTCTCTGCTCTCCAATGTGATGGTCTAGTTGTCTATGATGACTATCAAAAATGGTTACAGACCATCCATCTGTTTCTCCTTGTAGTAACCACTGATGGGCCTGGTATGGCTCTTATCACTGGGCTTGTTGGGCACCACGGCGGCAAGTAATGTTGGCTCTACTGTGGTTACACGGGCTGCAGACCACAAGGAGTGTCACACTACTATCTAGCCACGCAATGTCCTGCAGATCCATACGCTGTTCATGGATGTAGCTTTGACAATGTCCCTGCTGAAAAGCTCCCATCCGTCAGAAGCGACTCATATAAGGTCAATCTCAATTGGCTGATTGCGTGCAAAACTCAAGCTGCGTATGAGGAGCTCTGCCTTGAGACTGACATTAGTCGACCCACTATTTTTGCTGGACTCAAGCATATTCTCCCAATGCCACTATGCTTTGGCTCAGACATTATGCATGTAGCATCAATCAATGTGATTGACCTTCTTATTCCTTATGGCGAGGGAAGTTTCATTGCAATGAGCACAACTCAAGGGACAGCTGGGATTGGGTCTCACTTCCGCCAGCCATCTGGTTAGCCCACAGACAAACAGTTGCTGATGCTGCCAAGCGCATCCCTCGGTCTCATGACTGTCTCCGCTGTAATATTGCTGAACATCTTCACAGCAGGTACAAGGTATGAGAAGCCCACGTCTACCTCTACAGCATGGGTCCAGCTATTCTCAAAGGCAAGTTGTTATATTTTTGTCAAATTTCCTGTTACTAACAATACCTTAGATGTCCTTCCAGACCAAATTTGGAGGCATTTCTACCTCCCTGTTAGGGGTATCCGTATCATGCAACAGCCCTCAATTAGGCTGGATCAACTCAAGGAGGCACACTGGTGTCTGAATGTGTTTGCTAACAACTTCGAGAAACTCTATGTCAACCGCATGGAGTCCCGACTGCACTTTGTGCATCCCTGGCTACATGCCATCATGCACATGACCATGGAAACAACTTGAAAGGGCCCACCAATCTGCTCATCGCAGTGGCCCATGGAATGTACAATTGAAGACCTTGGGTGGGAGATCTGGAACCATTCAAAGCCATATGCAAATCTTGCTAACCGTGCAATCATTTGAAGCCAGGAAAACATTTTGAAGGCATTGTATCATTACCTGACAATATTCAAAAACCATCAAGACAATGTCCCACCTCCTTGTGTGTCCCTTCCCCTTGACAACAATTATGTTCTCTTGCCCCGGAGGGAGGAGCACTGGTCCCGCATCCCCAACAACGAGACAAAGGCTGTTGCAGAAGCATTGCAACCCCATGGATTTCACATCTGGCAGAACCCCTCTCTCCAGCAATGGGCTCGCCTACAGCTCCCAAATGGGCAAATTGCCCATTTGCATTGGCCAGAGACAGCGATGAAATGCCAACCACAGTGTTCTTGCAATGACACAGTAAGTTTTTCTCCAGGTGCTTATCACTGCTACGCAGCTGATGTTCCGTAGGTACACCTCCCTGGCAGCACAAAAATCACCTATGTGGAGGTCTTGTACTTTTTTTCAAATCAAGGTTGCTGACATAATCCGCACATATGCCATGATGTCAATATATGATCCCCCAGAACCTACACTGCAGGAACAATCATGCAACACACTTCACGCATGTGCATACCATGGTGACAGCACTCTCAAGGCTGTTGAAGTGCACCACATCTGATCTGTTGTTGCAATGGTCCCCCACAGGTACAAATGCTCAGTAACAAGGAGTTGTATTATGCAATGGAGAAGCCTGGTCTTTTAGTTTCAATTTCCACTGACATTCCAGAGGAGAATCACACTGAGGAGGAGGATGCACATTAGTTTACAAACAGCTTATATGCATGGCAAAAGTCATTATATGTAATTGAGTATTTATGAAACAGAACACAAGGATGAGTTGATATTAAATCCTCGCATTCTATCTCCATTATTTATACTCCTCCTCCTCTACAAGGGTGTTCTGCCTTAGGAGCTCAGTCGGGACTCGGACTGGTGTTAGTCCCAGTCCTCAATGCAGAAGCCACCCAGAGTTTCAGACGTGATTGGATGCGTTGGAAAGGAGAAAAGCCCCTGTGCACAACACCTGGTGCAGGCAGTGCTGAAGATACTCGCAAGGAGTGATCTTTGTGCTCGTACAAGGAGTACACAAATGGTCACCCAGTGGATGGGCTTCCATGTGCACGTGCCCGGTGAGAGCACACTAGTGAACATATGGTGCTCATATGACATGCACTCACGGGGACAGCCGACGAGGATGAGGATGGGGACAATGGCGGGATGACAATGCAAGGCGCCGATGGCGTGCCTGGTGTGCACTCACCATGTGACGAGCTGCGCATGCAGGAGATGGCATGCATGCTTCAGCTGCTCATACACGGGTGTCTTGCCATGAGCCTCTTCCCCGTGTACAACAACGTACATTTGTGGCTAATTCACCACACCCCAGCAATCATCAGCAATTTTCCTGCTGAGATTGCCTGTGCTGACTCCACAGCACAAAGTCACCTTGCAGAGCTACAAGTTCCATGGCTGGGGCATGGGAAAACCACTATCAGCACCATGAAGCCCACACTGCTGCAAGGTTATTTGCACTGCTCGTACAGGCATGTGGGTGCAGCTACTGAGTTAGAAATGTACGCAGCCCTGCAGCAGCGGTGGGATTCACACTGCTGCAGCATGCTTGAGGGTCTGGGAGGTTGCATTGCACTGCCTGTTGCGTGTCTCCTTATCTACAGTGCGGCTCATTGTATGTAAAGAGGTTATTAGCTGAAAAAAAAAATGAAAAAAAACCTTGTTTACTCTGTGTGCACAAGCAGGCTGCGGTGCTATGCGTCCAAGGCACACTTGGCGCAGCGCTTGTCGAGCAAGGAAAGGACAGTGGCCTACGCCGCCGTGCCTCTAGTGGCACAGCCCTTGCAAGCGCTAGTTGCTGTCCTCTCATGGTGGCATGCGTGAGGGTGCATGGGATGGCCGTGGCATCAACGTCGGTCACACATCAAGTGCATCGCTTGGTAATTGTCGTGGAGGGGAGGGTGGGGCAGGAATGAGAGCGAGAGTGGGCAAACACATGGGGCGGGCTGAGGTGTACCAAGTCCACCTCAGCTCAGCCCTGGGATCTGACAAATAGGCCCATGAACACATTGTCGGCCAAGGGCTTGGCGTTTGGCATGCTCAACTCAACAGCAACAGGGCACACATGTTGCAAAGTCTATTTATTGGTTGCAATGACCATTCACTTGTAATGTAGTTACAGTGTAATCCCAATGGACATGAGACATTGCAATTCATTGTAATCAAAGTCTCAAGAAGCTTGCAGTCAATTGGATTCATTCGTAACCATTGCAATTAGGTTTCAATAGTTGCTCAACCCCTGGAGAGTATGTATTGTTGCAGGTGAGACATACCTGCCAAGTGAGGCAGTAGATAGGCTTGCGAGGGCGGGGGATTGGATAACATCTTTTACCCGGGAAAGGGTCACCTGGTTCATCGGCAAAAGGTTGTTGTTGGCATCAGATGCCTTTACATCAGGCTCCTAACAAAGTTAGACCCATATGACATGCAACACATATTAAATATGCACCATGAGGACAGTCACTTTCTTCTCATAACCTTGCTCCTCTTTATCAAATACCCCTAAGTCTGGAAATGACTCATCAGCTGTGTCAAAGTTACCACCGGAAGTAGTGCTGATGTTGCCAACTGGAGGTGAATTAGGGGGGGAGCCATGTATATTCACCTGAGGGTCTAGCCCTGTGGTGGGGGCGACTAACGCAGTTTCAGGAGAGCTGTGGTTCTTGTCCCTGTCATTGTTGGCCATATTTTCAAGTGCACACATCGGGATGTTGTTGGTGTCTACATCACTGAGAAGGCGGGTGGCTCTGCATATTAGCACATGGAGTTTTAATTATGTGTGAACCTTATTTTTTTTGTGGATGTTGTCGCAATAAGAGAGTGAAACAAGTGCAAGATAACCTGTGTCTTGCACTCATTGACTCATCAAAATCAACTCGCCACAAACTCTATGGTGTTCATGGACCTTGATCCCGAGTTAGATAATACCAATCCGGTAAGAGATCCCATTGCCTCATGTTTTCCAAATTTGTCATTGATGCACACTGCATTGACACCATGCCCCAATTAGACTCAGACCTGTGCAGGTCCAACACCTTCATCCGAGCTAGAGGTACTGCGGGACCAAAACAAGCAATTACTGGAGCGCATGGACACACTGACATACGTGCTTCTCCTCCTGTCCGTGCGAAGCATCTATAATTGACTATATGTGTGGTTTCAGCAAGGTTATTGAGGTTCTCAAAGTGAATCCAGCACCGGCTCCGACTATCCAGGAACTTACGAAGACAGGATGGAACAACATGTCCGGGCTGGACTTCGATGGGCTGCTGTACCTCCCTTGGGAACAGTTCTCTCACCTATGGCATCAGATGTCTTGGACGTCTTCTGCATGGCTCAAGCACCGCAAGTCCCTCAAGAAAAGACACATCGTTCCCTCTGCATCCGAACTCCAAGGCGAGACTGAGGAGGGGCAACTCCAGTGCGACAACACCATTCCCACATCTCCATCCAACACTACTCTGGCCACCAGCACCACGGGCTCGGACACAAAGTCCAATGTGTTGTGGCTACCTTACTGACAAGGACAGTAAAGCCATTTTGAGTGATGACGCTAAGTCTGTTTGCACGCAGATGATTGCTGCTTTTCATACACTACGTGCACTTAACGGACTTTCACTAAAGTGGGCCTCACTCAAAGTAGACATGCATGCATGGTCTGTCCAGTGTTCCGGATTGCGCCTGATGATTGGAAGATTGACTGGCTCGCACACAACAATTATCCACAGTGGTACCGGTATCATGTCCTAGGGATTCGTGGGAAAAAGGTACTACACCTCTGTTGCTTTTTTATTTGCTGACTTACTCTCAACAGAACTCTGCATCTGACAATGGGGAAGGGGATGATGCAAGTGAGGAGCAAACACAGGTAAGTATATCTACTACACTATACTAGTTGATATGCTGACTTACTCTCGATAGACCTCTTTGTCTGACAATGGGCAGGCAAATGGACGGGGTGAGGAGCAAGTACAGGTAAGTCGATATCTATGCTACAATGAGTTGACAAGTCAACATCTCCTACACTCCCATGGATACCACCACAGCCCCAACCAACATGCACCAGCCCGCACTAGGAGCTGAAACGGCTCCCTCTGGTCCCCCCATCATATGGCAGCCTTCTACTCCCACAGAGTCTTGCATAGCTCAACCTCGAGTAGAGATCGGTCTAGCCATGTGAGTCACTACATCCCTATACTGTCCATCTATGCTTACCTTGTCTGCAGGGATGATGGTCCAGCTGAGGAAGATGAGGACAGCGACAATACCAGCATCGATCTGAATGAGAGGCAAGACACCATGGATGTGGATTTGAACACCAACACACTTGACTGCTCCTCTTCGGCTACCACTTCCGAACATGCTCCTGGACCAGAGGCTGAGCGCACCGCAGACATCAACACAATCCCACCTGCCAAAACTAGCAATGACAAGCTTGGGAACCTTGTCCTGCCGAAGCTTGCCCGGCCCAATAACCTGGAAACCATTGTGAAGAAACGCGGCCGCACAGCAAAACCATGCAGAGAACCAGTTTGCAAGAGCGGCAGGAAAGTGTCTTTTCTGTCTTTCCCTATGTTTTCTCATTAGCTTTCTTACCATCAGGACACTATGCCAGTGGCATATTTGGAAGAAGTACCTGGATGTGACAAATAGTGAGTTTGACAGTGCGTGGAAATCGCTTGCTGCAGAGCAGTGAAAGGTATGTTATCAGCTCTATAGCAGTGTGTACCAACGTGACTTGCGTACTCCGTAGGATTGGGATATCACGTTCGTGAACTTGAAGAAAAAACAAGGCAGTGCAACAGCAGTGGTCTCTGAGGGTAACAAACGTGCATGGCTGGCATAGGCTTCTAGTCTTCTGATCTCCCCTGCTATGTCTTGCTATGTGCTACTCTTCTCTTGGTGACTTCTTAGTTCTACTTGGTCTTGGTGATTCTAAACTGCTCGTTATCAATTTCAGCTAGGGTTTCAAAATTTTTGCAATCTCTTGTTACCGGTCTCAACTGCTATACATTGTGCCTGCATTTCTGACAGATATCAACTGGTTTCAATTGCTTTAGATAGTTTGTGATGTGTTTAGATTTTAATTGCAATGAATGTGCTTTATTTCATCTAAACTACTCGGTGTAAGATCTAAACTAGTATTGCTATGCAATAAAGGGCATTCTAAATTGTAACGTGGATTTTAGATTTCGTAACAACCAGTCAAGATCAAATTTTCACTGGGGGTGAAGGGTCTACATCCAAGCAAGCAAGAGTTTATTTTATTTTTATTTTTTAAAATCCCATTTATTGTTATCTCAGGGCTCTGCCTATGTTAAACTGTAACTACAGGTATGTACTACATGCGTTCTGGGCCAAAGAAAGTAAACATGAGGTAAAGACAACAAAAGCAAGGGTTGATGTCACAAGTGTGCACCCATGTACCCTAGTCCAAAGTACTAGTAGATATCTATATGGTCTCCTATAAGAGGGACCGCCTTCAAGATTATAACTGTAGTGTATACAGAACTATAGTAGTGGAGCAGAGTGGAATGGGGATGGAGTGTGGGCGACCAGAGGTAATGGAGGGGAACAAAACAGGACTGGATGGGAATGGAGGTGTATGTAGGTATAAAATAACAAGTGATATAACAAAATGGGAGCACAGGAACTTAACCGGAGTGCTCTGAGGCTGCAGAGCTGAAGTACTGGAATACTGGAGTAACCTCAAAGATAAGCTGTAGGCTCAGAGTTGACACAGAATTGACTCGGAGGAGTACAAAGATTATGGGAGGATATGGAGGAGTCTGGAATGGGGACTGAAGTATACAAGAATCAATGTTGATATTCAGACTGAAGTACACTAGCCTATACTGAAGGGTTTATATACTACAGCCTAAGAATAAAATCATAGTAGTTGAGCAAAGGGGAATGTAGCTCAGCTATGAGGTACAGAAGTAGGGTGAAGAGTATAATGTAAGAGGTGTTGACTATGATATCAGAAACATAAGGAAACAGTGCAGGAATAACATAGGAATGTCAAAAAGAATTGTCACATACCATGCACTCTCCCAAGCTCCTACCCCTATCCTGGTACACTCAGGCTACACTCCCACAACACTACTGTTCTCTCATCCTTGTTCTGTAGCCTCCTGAGTTTTCCAGTGATCTCCAGACACCTCTGATCCTCCTCTCGCATCCTACAGTGTTCTTATAATGCACTCCATACTCCTACGGAGCTCCAAAGATACTTTCCCATGTTTCAGAGCATCAGAGTATCATCACTATAGGATTCCATTGTCCTCTCCATGACGCTAGGTTACGCTCCTGTCCTCTGTGCACCTCTGAGGTTATCTCCCTACACCTCCGGAATGTCGGAGCTACACTGTATGGTGGGAGCAGTCACTTCATGTCAACCCGTAATATCCCATTTCTCGCCGTGCCGTTGAGGATACGAACTCATAGTATAGTATTTTGAGGCAAATTTCGATGTACAAGAAATTCTGAGATTTTGGGCGCTTAACGGCCAAATTTGCGGTCAAGAAACATGATCTATACTAAGGCATGTTCATGCACATCGCTTACGAAGAGCATTTACTTTTGCTTCTCGCTCCTCCTCGGCTGTATCCAGATCCCGCTGAGAAACCCCTCGGTGAGATTTGTATTTCTTCACTGCATATTCTGCAGCCATGCCGGTGGCTCCAAGAGAATAGACGTCCATGTAGCGCTCAACCCGGCGGAAGAATCTACGAATGGTTATGAGAGGGCAGGAATTCAAAGCTTCAAGAAGGAGCTTTTTGGCGTGGGCGAAGTTGCCATTCGAGCGTTCGCGGAAGTATCGCTTGCACCATCCCCAATAATACTCTTTTGGGTTGATTTCCGGATGGAACTTGGGCAAGAAGTGACAGATGTCGTTGCCACCACTTTCGGCAATGATCTAAGTGTTCGCAGTCCCAGAGTGGTTAGAAATATCACAAAAGTATAGATTAATAGGCCCACCAATTCCAACGATGACTTCTGTGCACAAAAATCCTCTTCCATGGATAATAGCCGTCGCATGCAGCAGTCAACTGGTCGAATATCCTGGGCTTCACCATCTTCAATCTCTGAGGAGGCAGAATCAAGCTCATCACGGTTAGTTTCCTTCGCTTTGACCCGAGCCCTATGGGACTATGTCAAAATAATAAGTGCCAGATCAACGGGTTAAGGCGGCATATGCAAACCTTGCATGCTTGGCAGTCGCCCGGGATGCCACCCTTCTTTGTGCCAGGTCTTGCAAGCACATATCCATGCTCCTCGAGAATTACCCTCATTCCTTTTGGTTGACCTTCAAACTTCTTGTGTGGATGATCATCGGGTAGATTGAGTGGAAACTGAAAGCTTTGCGGGAGACCACCGCGTCCAGACTTGTTGCTTATGGGAATGACAGTGTCATTCATTATGGGTTGCTTGCCTCCTGGGCCAACGTTCATCCCTGTAACTACGAGTGCCCCCTCTGGCATACAGTTATGGCAAGATGAGTTGTCGAAGACCCAGTGTCGCACGCAATTTGGAAAGAGGACATGTGCAATCTTCAATGCATTTCGTAGTTGATTCTCCATCTGACGAGAATTCCAGAACCCATCTCCGCTCTCCTTGTTGGTTGGGTAGATAACAACACGAGAATCTGTCACCACAAGTTGTTCCGACAGAGGAAGCTTCTTGTTCTCGGCAATCAAGTCCTCAGTAAGCGCAAGGTTGCCGACTTTCTCGCAAATATACCCCGACACCATCATCAAGCGGCCTCGTGTTTTCTTCTTCAACTCCTGCTCTCCTGGGCCTAGCCACTTTGACACATTTTGGAAGTCGTTATCATGGAATGGTGCCTCATCTTGATATAGCCAGGCATGTTCACACTCATCGCCCTGTAAAGCAGGTGAAATCGGCTCCATGTTAACACCGTCATAAGTTGTTCTGAGTCTATGGGTAATTGAGTAAGTGAACTGTTGTGACGGAGCCAAAATGAGAGTCACTAACTGTTTAACATCGTTAAATTCGTTTAAGAACTGCTGCCGGTGCTGACGGACATCCTTTCGTTCATGTCCGTCAAAATAAACACCCTTTTTGTGACTTTTCGAGCGATATCCAAGCTGGATGAGGACACCACGGGCCCATGACTCTGAGACACAGGTTTTAGACGATTTTAGAGATGGCAAAACATGCTCGTTAACACGGCGCTGGAGGATTAACGGGGTGATCTGGTGCGCAATTAATGTTAGCTAATTTTGGGTTATGGGCCGTGAGACCAGTGGGAATCAGACATACCTCGCCTGCTTTTAGTGTCTTCATCCACCGACGTAAACCAAGCATGAAAGCCTCATCATGAACGAGACCTGTCTCCCGCTTACGCCGACCCTGCTGGCTTGGGCAAAGCATGCCATTTGCTTCAAAATAACGGGCTTGGGAGCACAAAACACGGGAATAAGCTGGCCCTCGCCCAACATTCCGTGACACTTGTGCAGCAGCTCGCAGACGTCCACGCCTCTGAGCAAAACGGTAGAACTCCACAAGAGATGCAAAGAGGAGTTCATCACGGTAAGACTTCATGCGCCTTGCCTGGGTGAGACCCGACTGTGCTAGCGCTTTCAGTTCATCAAAGCCTTGGGGTGTGTCGTCTCCTGAATCATTGACCCATGCTGCCGCTTCATCTGCTGCCTCAACCTCTGATGCAATGTCCTCCCATTCATCTGCCTCGTCTTCTTTACCCTCTTCCCCCTCACTTCCATTGCTATCCTCAACACCCAACCCGACAGGCTCACTTCCTCCTGTAGCCTTGTAACCTGGGGCAAAGTCCGAGCCTTGAGAGACGTCCTCAGGCTCCAATTCAACCTGCAAGAGAGGAATTGGAATAGCTGGTCGAGGCTGAAAGACTTGCATGAGGGTGAGCTGCTTATGTTGATCTGGTTTTCGCTCTACAGTTGCTTCGAGTTGTCGCTGGATTTTTGCAGAGTTTGGGTCTATACCACTAGCTGCTGCCTTTCCCAATATCTTCTGACGCTTTCGTCGAGCTGTCCTCTCTGAATCACCACCAACCCCATAAGGACCTCGCTTCTTGCCTGTCTGGTTGGCCAGTGGACCGTCTAGATGATGTTCGGCACCCCGGACTGCTGCAGCACGAGCTGATGCCTGAGCCTCAGATGAGAGCTGGGCAGTTCTGCGCCTCAGGCGGACAGGTGGGAGTGGGATGGACTGCCATTCATCATCAGAGTTGTTGGAGGAATCGTCACCTGAGCCAGACACCTGTTCATCATCTCCATCTATCCCGCCATAATCACCCGGTCCTGGTTGCTCGACCACTTCTCGTGTGCCCTCCACTGACTTAGTTCTAGTTGAGAACTTTCCATTTGCATTTCGTCTGATAAGAGCCGACTTCTGAGTGCGTCGTCCCATTGTCTTTTCAGGAGGTTTTAGGATGCGTGAAATGCTGCAGCACTAATTAGTGTCGCCCCGTCGTCATCTGGTTGACCATGACGGTGCAGTGCCCATTCACGTGACTGTAAGCGCCCGTTCACGTGGTCTAAACGGCCAAATCGATGGGAGAACACTTTTTTTTTTGTAAAACTTCGGTAACCAATCTTTTGCACCGACAGTTCTTCTCGCACTGCTCAGTCCTTGCTAAATACGATGTATTACTTATTTATAGTCAAGTCTTAATGTGTTATTGAGCGAGCAAGATTTCACCGTGGGACCTTGTCATGAAGTGACTGCTCCCACCATACCTATCTCCAGGCCATTTCCATGCAACTCTTCACCCTTGTCCACTAGAGCATGTATGTTGCATGTCTCTGACATCACTCCTTAGGCCTCCCTTCATCCTCATGTTTTCATATCATATCTCCTTGTCCTATACCTCCATTACTACCTCATGGTATCCCTGTTGTTAGTGATGTCATTCCTTCAGCCACCTTCATCATACTCCGGACACCCTCTGACCTACTTCGTACCTACAGTACTTGTCCTTTACCCTTCCTTGATGACTTCATACTTTACTAGTAGTATATAAGCATTCCTGTACTTACCATAGTTCTCCTGTCTGAATATCAACTACAACTACACCTATTCCATCTAATCCTGTCTAGTCTGATCCCCTGGCTCAATTATGCCTTCCTAATCCTCATCTCTATTCTCTTTGCACTTCTATATGTCATCTATGCTCCGAACTTCTTAGTCCTAAACTCCATGCCAACTCCATGTCATCTCCGGGACATTCCATTCCACCTCCAGCCACTTCCAGTCCTCTTCTGCATCCTCCCATCCTCCTCCGGATGCCTTCCATGGCTTCCACTCCACTTCAATGTGTTTAGCACGCACTAGGACTTGTACTTGGGACTTGCGCCTGAGTGCCTTGTCACCTTGACACTTTCCCTGGATCTTCAGATTGTTCCTGCTGACCTTCCGGTCATCTCCATTCACCTCTGGACTTCTACATCCCCCTTCCACCTTGCTATGCTCCCTACAACCTACTTTCCCACAGTCTCTGTTGCTTCGCACTTCTTCCTATCTTGTCATACTTTTCTTCTATTATACTTAGCTTTTTGCTTATCTTTGTTCTAGCTTATTTTAGCTTATCCACACCCCCTTTGATGTATATTCCCATAGTCTCCGAGATCTTGTAGCTCACTATGTAGCTTTGAGTATCTTCCCTTACATATTAGTATTCCGTAGTTACATTACTTACAGTCCCTATAATACTTCCATTCTTTCATACTTACTTTTCTCCTCTTCCAGCTTCTCCTCCAGGTCCTCCAGACCTCTTTGGTCAACTCCGACCCTGCGGAGTTATTCTCCCACACCTCCAAAGCTTTGGAGCGCAGCATAGATCTCCATAGTACGTCCCCTCTAGTTCTGTTCTCGTCCTCCAGTTGGGATTTATTGGCACTGGTACTGTTAAAGGTGATCCTTCTTAAAAGAGATCACGTAACAAAGCCCTTAGCCCTGTTGGGTTGGGTTCGCAAAATTACCCTGCTAGGCACGCTTGTGACAGGAATGATACACAAAGTAAAGGTGAGGATATTGTTAAAAGGAACATACTCAGAATGTATAGTGAGGTTGAGGGTTAATGATGTAGATATCTCAGAGGTTCTGGAGGTTTTGGAGATACCAGAGTTGACACAAAGCTGAGTGGAGGTGTCTGGAGGTGAGTGTAGGTGTCCAGAGGTACTGGAGATGTTTGGATCTAGTATTTGTAGGCATGTCACATAACAGACACCCTAATGTGTCATTACTTGATGCACCACTGTTTTTGAGGCATGGGAATGTCCAAGAACATTGTATAGGAGTGCTTACCTGCTACTCATGCAGATAAACCAGCTGCCTTGTAATGCAGACAGGAAACTAAAGCAAACTGAGGTCAATAGTAAGGAGGCAGATGAAGAGGGGAACAACATCACCAAGGACCTTGAGTTGTGGTACAGGGACCCAATTGAATGCATCAAGACCTTTTTGGCAAACTTGACACTAGAGAAGGTGATAACATTTGAGCCTGAGCCTGCCTAAAATAATAAAGAGAGGAGGGTGTGTCAGTTTGATAAAATGTGGACAGGTGATTGGTGGCAGAAAACACAAGTAAGCTGGCTCATCTTTGTATGCAAACATGTTCAATCTTGCACATATCTTACAGGGACATCTTTCCAAAAGTGCTATTATTGCACCCATCATTCTTATGTTCAATAAAACAGCTCTATCACAGTTTTCTGATAATAATTGGCTTGGCCAGTATACTTGATGCTCAGAAATGTCACCAAAGACATTTGCTGCCAGACATCAAGCAGGGCAACAGTACTCCTAGAATATACCCTGGTCACAAAAATAGGGGATATTAATTCCTATTACTTGTTCCGCCACTGCATGAATATTGCATTCAAACCTTTGATCACCATGGGAAAGGATGAAGTACCTCTCACATGTCCAGATGGGTTCATTTGTTGACTCTTCACCATCCTTGCCATGTACATCACTGATTGCCCTGAGCAGTGCTTGATGGCCTGCTGTAAGGAGAACCAATGTCCAAAGTGTTTTGTCAGCCATGATGACTCCTCTTAGCAATTATATGCACACTCTCCAAAAGCCTTTCTCTCTAAGGTCCAGAAGCTCTGGAATGGGTTTATGTCTCTTCAGGAATAAAAAATGAACACAGCTTCTACTCTGTTATTAATCCATTTTTGAAAAAAAAAAAAAAAAACTGCTTTATACCAAGATCTTCACAAGTATTACTGTACTTTTTGACCTTAGGTTCAGTCCCCTGTCCCTCCCTCCCCACAAAGCAAACCTAATGTGGGGGGACAGTCCACTCCAAGGCTGAAGCCACAAACTTAACAGGTGGGACATACTGTAAAATAGGCAAAAAAAAACCCTGATTAAATTGATAAAAAATCCAAAAAAAAAAATGATACAGAGTATTCTGATAAGCCAAAGCCTAATGATGTGTTTGTTAGACCCTTTGGCTGATTATGCAACATGTTTCCTCTATTAAAACACCTGCAGAGGTGTGTAAAACATATTGAACTTGGAAGATAGCATCTTGATCAATACAATTGAAATCTTGTTGACACAGAGAGGACAGGAATATGGGGTGAGTAAGCAATATCAACAGAGACATGCTGAAATCAAATACATTGAATGCTCTAACCGGCATGGTGCCATTGGGCACAGAGCATGCAGTGGGAGCAAGGCCCAAGTAATATATGTGGTGGCTCAAATGTGTGTGCCAACAACCAGCTTGAGATTAATTCCCTTTGTGCCAGAGCCAGGGATGTCTCTGAGAATGCTAGCACCAGGGACATAGGCAAAAGCACTTGAAATGCCACTTCATGGTCATTTCTTTAATTAGTATTGAGGCTGTTGGTGTAATCCCTCAATGTCAACATGAACCCTGTCCACCTTTGGGTTGGCCCTCTAAACTTACAAGGGGGGACAAACAGTTAAGGAAACTGTGTTTAAAGTCCGAATTCTCATGCCACCACAAGTTTAAGGTTGAAAAACTACAGATCACCAGATATCTTGCACTGATTGCATAAAGGCATGTTCAAGGACCATCTCATTCCCTGGTTCCTGGGTTTCCTTGGCAAAACAGCACTTGACTCACACTATCAGACATGACACCATGTGGAGATCTCCATCATTTCAAGAAAAGGGTGTTTACAGTCTTGCAGTACACAGAAACAAAGCACCAGGAAATGGAGAGAATATTTCCTGATGCACTTTCTGGTCTCATCAGTGCAAAGGCAATGACAGCAGCAAATATACTGCTCAAATTCATCTTGTACGTACATTACCAGTCACATACAACAGATACTCTTGGAGCCATGTTAAAATCCCTGCATGATTTTCATGTTAGCAAGTCCATTTCATCTCAGAGCTCCAGGTTCACAGCAACTTCAACATTCCAAAGCTCCATGCCATGCTCTATTATGTCAAAGCTATACAGCTATTTGGCAGTGGAGATGGGTTCAACATTGCAAGCCTGGAGCACCTGCACGTAGACTTCGCAAAGCAAGCTTATTGTGCTAGTAACAAGCAGAACTATATCTACCAAATGATGATGTAGCTTTGTTGCCAGAAGGCCTTTTATTATTATTTGGTTGTTGTATCTTACTTTCTAGAGTGAGAATAATCCAAATTTCATGCCCCCCTCCCCCTCTTTCAGCTGCTCTTGCTGACACAGACAATGGTGACATTAAGCCTAGCAAGCACATTGAAAACAAGGCTAGCCTAAATGGCCATAAAAAGTTTGAAGCTCTTGCATTGTGGCAGTACAATTGTTTTCCAGGCAGTTGTGACACTTCACCTTTGTTGACTTGTGTCAAGGACACAGCTTCTATATTTCATGCCAATGTCATCATCCTTGCTTACAACTCTTTGACATTGCTCACACTCAATGACATCCTCTGCTGGTTGATGTCCTTAACATCTACTTGTCACTTTGTTTATCTCATTCACAATATTTGCAGTTGATATCTGCAACCTCAATCATCAATGTCTATAACTACATTTTGGTTTTAGCACCTCCAGCACCTTGTTTTACAGCTATCAAGCAGCTCCATAAACTTCACACACATGCTGACATTCAACCTTGTAGTTTGCAAAAACTCGTCACACCATCCCACTTTGATACAAGTTTGTTCATTAGGGATACAGAAGCATTTTGCTGCAACCTGCATTTATTATCAGATATGACTGTTCACTGTATTTTTGTGTATTACTAAACTTGAGTGGGTGTTAACTGCATATTTATAGGCCTTTGTATAGGGTGTGTGCACACAATTTTCATGATGTCATCCAAGTATGGTATACAAGGCCACCTATTGTATGTCCACTGGTACTATGAGTTCAGTACCATTAACCCTTGGACATCTATGTTTGCATTGGAGCCAGCTTCACATCAAGAGGTCCCAGTGCAGGAGTGGTTCCCACATCCACATTGCTAAGGTTGTGCCACTTGATTCCACGGTTTGTCAAATATGTGAATGTTCTGTGGGTGTGTGAAGCTGCCTTAGACAGTACAGAAAAGTTTTTCTTCAATACATACATAGATCTAGGCATGTTTGAGTGCTTCAAACTTTACAAGTTTTAGGTACCACTGTAATAATTAAGTGTTTGTTATGGCATTGTGAATCATACTTACCCCTTGTGTTGCACTAAGAAGATTTGGAATAATTATACTACAAGTATTCATACTGTACATAGGAATATCTGGATGGACATGTATTCATATAGTGCCATATGTGTATAGTACATCATGGTGCATGTGTGCATGTGTGTGTAGTGTGTATGTGTGCATGTGTTCTTTTGTGTTCTACAGATACATTTTATGGGTCCTAGGTGTGCGTGGATCTGCCTGTGGGCTAGCTAAGCTGCAGGGTTTGTCTTGCCTTGTTGCCTGTGGTCAACTTGTGGAAAAATGCCCTATCCAGAACATATGTTCAGTAGAGCCAGCCACAAGCATTAAAATGCAGCCTGAGCCACATAGACCCTAGTCATGGCAAAGTTACAAGTTTGAGGAATGGGACACCTACACCCTCCTCTGGAAAAGGTACATAGTTGTAGGTGAAAAGAAAAGAGACATACACAAATCACTTGAAATCTTGAGATTAACAGAGTTCAAATGCATGACCAAATTAAGTCAAAGATGTGTGGCACTGCTTGCCTCTACTCACCTCCAAAGGTCAACTCAGACTCCACTGACAGACCAACATGTGTGTTTATGCCAGATAATGCTTATTAGATGACTTATGCACTCTGTTATTACTTAGAATATGTGAATGGTCATTAACCAGGGGAGTCACTACACATGCAAACAAGGAATGATGATAAGAAGGAAAAACTAACCCTAACCCTAGATGGGGCTTGGACAGAAATAGATGCCTCAATGAGAGGACTTGAGACTTAGGTTTACGAACAGAGCTAAGGGAAAATCCCAAAAGAACTCTTTTGGAGTTTTGGGTCATCAATTGCAGTCTTTATATACTACTGGGCAGCTGTGCACAGGCCATGTGTCTAAAGGTAAGGCTCCTGCCTAATTAGGAATACAAAGTACTTAGTAATACAAGCACACCATATTGCATGATCCTTGCATCATATGATGTCATGGTCCAGACTCATCAGGTGCTTGGACATGTGCCTGCTTACATAATAGATAAGGCCAAAGTCTGGCCATATCAAAAACAAATGCAATAAATAATGCATTGTTTGTCTGAGTTAGGGTTAGCAAGAGGTGTTTTTGACAGAATAGATTATTTCATTACATACAAGGCTACTAGCTATTTATAAATAGAAGGTTTAGCACTGGGCACTCATAATTAGCATTTGTGTTTTTCTGACATAGTAACTGCAGAATGATAGAAATGTCAAGAAGTGTCATAGCTAAACAGGTGGCAACAAGACTAGTAGAAAAGGAGGTAATAAAAAACACCATATGTCAAATGTGTAGCAAGAAATAGTAGTAATATGGCTGTGCGTCTTGAAATGTCACTCTTCTTAGTATATAATCCCTAGGACCAGTGTACTAGGAATATAAGTGCCCTCTCTACTGAACTACCATTGCACTAAGCCTCAAACATCCAAACCAATCAATCAAGTGAGTATGATAACCTTCCACTGCCCAGATGGGATGCTGCACCCATCATTTCACCATGAACTTAAGGTCAAAAATTTATGGTATTCCAAGTCAGCTTGATATTGACTTGTCTTCTCCACCTTGCTCCACTGTACTCAGCAGGTTTCTACTTGCTTTTATGTGCATAGCCAAGGCCCTCGCGGGCGCCCCTGGGACTGAAGGACGGAACAGGTATGGTAACACAATGGTAGCACCTTACGTGAGGATACAATTTGTATGTACAGAATATAATGACATTGGCCCAATAGTACCGCTAACCAACACTTGAGATGAGACCTTATACTAATACTCTGTTGCATTGGCTCAGTTCTGAGAGCAAGGCATGGCATAAGTATGGTACTATTGTTATTGCTTGTGTCTATGCTAAACAGTCTTATTTACACAATGGTTATCATGCATTGCATGAGTGCAAGTATACCTGTAGGTTAGCTCCAGTGAAAAGTTGTGTCACATCTATTTATTAAAGTTTTGAATAAGATACCTTTTTATTATTTGAAACAACCTTACATTCTTTAAAATGGGTGCTGTTCATTAAACCTGCTCTAGGATGTGCCCCAAGAGGCACTTTAATAAACACTTAAAAGTTCTTAAAGTATAGAACAGTCAAAAAGGGATCATTGGATTCAACCGTAGCAACAGTACAGGATACTTTAACATGGGTTAGAATACTTTAAAAAAGAATATAATCAATCAAACACTTGGTAACTGATAGCAAAGAATGAGAGCAACATACAAATAATAACAAAGCACCACAATGAAAGCACAAGTCTTGTATATATATATATATAAAAAGTGACCATGGTGGATGTTGAATAGTGCATGTGATTACAAGTGTGGGCGTAGAGGTGGATGTGATAGTCAAATGAGATGCACTAACAAGCTGTCAAACAGAGGAATCGTAAGTACACCGCTAAAGACAGATAAACACATGATGTATGTGCCGCAGAATCATGCAAAAACACCTTTCCTTGTCTGGTCAGTGACACCTTGCCAGTGCTGTGTTGATTTCTGTTAATGCTGGCATACTCACGCGACAGGATCACATACATCAAAAGCAGTCCTGTCCTCCGAGTTGCATACCACCTTCCATGCTTTGTTGAAACGCACTTCTGTGTTGAGTGCATTCTTGGGATCTTTGACCCAAGCACAAGCAAGCTCCCACCTACAAGGGATGAATTAATGACATTAAGAACACAAAGGAACACTTACTTGGGAGATATGGTCTTGGGAATGACAAGCATCTTGCCACCTCATCCACTTGCTGGTGTATTACCCTCTGGTGCAATTGGGATAGATTCCCCAACAGTCTTGATGACCAGTTGAGGAGCGCCACTGGCCATCGGAGTCAATGTTGTCTGCTCGGTTAGAGGCTGGGCAAAGGCAGGAGCAGGTGCTTCCCCCAAAGTTGGCTGAGGAGTGTTGCTGGGTGTTGGGGTCGGGGTCACTGCCTTGGCTGGAGTCGCAATGAGGTGGGGAGCTGGGAGAGAGGGAGAGATCTGCTCTGTATTCACAGGCAGAGTCCCGCTGTTGATGTTTGCAACACTGGCGGGGGAACATGTTGCCATGCAAGACGCTCCTGCACGTACCTTGCCTGCCTTGGCTTTCTCCTTCCCTTTCACGGTGAACGGCAACACATTGCTCGAAGGGTATTTGGCGAGCGCATCAGCCCTGTAAGAAAACATGAGCAAAAATAACATAAGGAAAATATAACTCACAGTGGAGTGGAAAGTGCTAGAGCGTCATCTGCACTTTCCAGGACATCAAAGCTGCTTGCCAACATTGAAGAGTCGTGTGATAGTGAGGAAGACGAGGTAGCCACGCTCTCACTTGAGTTGGTCCTTGTGCATTTTGAAGGGCCAGGCACAGAGCCAATTGAGGTGCAAGGGATGTTTTCAGCAGCATCACTGGACCTTGTGCGCCTCAAAGAGCTGGCCGTGGTGTTTTTTGTGTTGCCTTGCTTTGATAGGCAAACAGACTTGTCATTGTTGCCTGACCCCGGCTTTAACCAAGGTGCATATTGGTCCCGCCACCTGGAGTAATAGTGCTTCCCCAGCTCCAGCAGCTTCCAATTGTCACTGCACAACCAGAGCACTGGGGAGACACGACAGTTAGCTGCAATAAACCAAGTCAGAGTACCACTGTCCATCTGACCCCAGGTCTGGGGTAGGAGCACACTGCGATGGTGCTTGAGAAGGGTAAACCACGTGGCCTTCATCTTAGAGTGCACAGCTTTGGCCTGCCTGAGATCAGCTCACTTAGGTTATTGACAAAGTACGTGTTGCAAATGTTGATGCTCTTCAATTGCGCCGACTGGCCCTGAATCCCCTTCAGATGGCCACCTTGCATTTTGGTGGCGAGAGTTTGTGCATCAACATGGAGACCCCAGTCAGAGACAGTCCACATGTAGCTACAGGGGCTGTAGTCATCCAGGTGGAGTTTTAGGTTGGGATTGTTGTTGAACTGGAGGCTGGAGACCGTGTTGTGGCCCCTGATGAGAGCAGGCACTGAAGGTGGCGTGGGGAGGCTGTTCTCTGGCCCTGTGGCAACCTCGCTAGGTGCATCAGGGTCAGGTTTGATCGTGATGGAAGGCTTTGGGGTCGGAACAGGAGTGGGTCAAGCCCATGTGGGTACCGCAATGGCAGGCCCCCCCCCC